TTTTTCAATAAGAGGCAGAAGATATTACTCCTTCTGCTTCACCAAGCAGAAAAATTAGATGTGCATGTGCCGTGCTGAAAAATTAATATCTGTTGTTTTTTTAGTCGAGTAGAGGGGTGTAGCCTGGCACAAGCAATAAACACACAACATAACACAGACGTGCATAACTGGATCTGTTTTTTTCACTTGTACACAAATTAATTTTAAGACAGAACAGTAAATTTAGACATCAAGGAAGGAGGTTAATTGTAATAGCTGGGAGCTGCATTACTGCATGGTGGCCACCTCTGCCATTCTATTCCCTTAATAACATCTACAGTGACACTTGAATTGCAAGAGAATGCGAGTATCGAGGATCTTATTCAGAGAGCTGTTCTCAGAGTCTCTAAGGCCAGAGCACTATCTCTGCCTGATGGAGGTTTTCCTGCAAGCCAAAGCCTGCGTCATAAGACGATAAGCCCGAGTCCTATAAGACTGAAAATTGGAAGTAAAAAGCATCAGGGAGAATGAGCCATTTTATACACTGTCACTGGAGAGCTCCGAGCCAATATAGTAGCTCCATCCTAGACAAAAGAGCTTCAAATGCTGTTGTTACAGGAGGTCTTAGAGGAGATGAGCAATCAGAAAGAGTAGCAATGGCAGATTGTGCTGCTCTAACCATTGATCTGATTACACTGTGGGGGAGGTGAAAAGAGCTGCTCTATATAGTGAGAGAAAGGTATAGTCTTTCTGTCTGGTCTACCCAGTATCTGTTATCTAACTAGAAAATCTATGACTGTAGAGAGCATCAATTGAAAATCCTCTCCACTTGAGAGTTAAACTATTTCACTGTGGCACTCAGTAGGTCGTTTTAATTCTGGCCCTGAAATAGAAATGTGGGGGTGTTCGGGTTTGCCTTCCCGCGTTCCCATCGCCATTCAATCTTACTAACTACATTGGCATCACTATGCCTCTGTACTCTTTGCAGCGAGATTGATGGCTGCAGAGTTTCATAGGTGTACAGCAGTGCCTGGGGACGACTTGTGGAAGAAAAAAAATCTCTTCACACATCAAACGCAGAGACATCACTGGCAGTCAGCACACACACACAAACACACACCGCCCACATGTAGGCACGTCCTCATCAAATCGATGACTATCAGCGTAAGGATGGTCTCTGGGCCACAACTATTCATTTTCCAGGATCGCGAGTTAATGGGGGGAATCTGTGGGTCCTCTGAGCTGTCTAATTACTCCAATCAAATTCTTTAATCGTGGTGATATTTCATGGCCGGGGTGGCGGGGAGCCCCTCGTCCTGATCGATGTCCCCTGTCTCTCTCCGTCCAAATCACTGGGACTTTGCATGCTGTAGGCAATGGGCCTGGGCTAAATGGCTTTCATTTGGCTCCACTTGGCTCACTCTAAAAAGTCCCACCTCTTACACACACACACACACACACACACACACACACACACACCCACACACCCACGCACACACACACACACACACACACGCAAACATAAATGAAAGACACATGTGCCATGTTCAGTTTAACGTTCATTTCAGTTTGAACTCACTGAGAGTGACCGCTTCAGTCGGCCCCTCCTCTGTGCTGTGTCAGGTCAGAACAGATGGTGTGTTAGGCAGAAAGCAGTTACCTTTACAGCTGCAAGAAGTGCTAATTAAATGTGCAGAGGATAGATGTGTTGTTTCAGTGTGCTTATCCTAATAGCTTCTGACATATGTGGCCATTTACACAGATTGATTTAGAGCTCACTGTGGATTTTTGTCTAACTTGTCTGGTCTGCAACTCAAAGGTTCGAGTCTCAAACTCCAAACATGGGCTCTTTTCTTTATGCTTATTTTTTGCATAGATTTTTTTGTTATCTCTTAAGGTGAACCTGCCCACCGCTCACCAGGTTCCTACAGGCATTCAGGTTCTCCCGGCCTGTACTTCTAAACCCCAGGCTCTTTGTTGAAACAGCACCACTGCTGGGCATGCACTATCTGACTTTGGTTTCTAAGCTAGACCGATCAAACGGAACCTGACTTTGCCGTGCTTCATGCTGGGAAGCTGTGCAGAGCTTCAGAATCGAGCAATTTAATGGGAGGACGGAGAGAGAGGAAACACAAAAGCAGACAGATTCTGTAGATCATATGTCAACAGAGGCTTTAGCTTCATAAGTTCTGACCCTCCCTTTCTTGCTTTAGCTGGAGTGTCAACAGAGATAGCTGCAGGTGCTAACATCCTGACAATCATCAGCGCAATGTGAAGGAGAAAGCCCTACAGTCTTGGTTTCTGTTTGGCCCGAGCGCATTTCACAGTCAGAATCCTTTCTGATCCTTCTTTACCTATTGTACACCCTCCTTCGATCCACAACAGAGCGCTGAGAGAACGTCGGGTCCGCTGTAGAGTTGTCGGGAAGCAGCTGATGTATGGTGATCGCTCCTGCGCTGTGCATGGAAAGCCATGAATATAAAGTGTGTGTTTGTGGCCTCCATTGTGCTGAGTTGACAGCTGCTGGGCTGAGAGATTGCCGTACAGCAGGACCTGATGGTGCTGTCACACTGTTGGGCCATCTTCCAGCTATTTCTCCATCACATAATCTCATTCTCCGCACCGTCAATGCACTGATAGCACTCTGCCTACAATACATGGTATCAGCTGCTATATTTAATCTGAGAAAAGCAAACACTCCTCAGACTAATGCTATTTTCACACTGAAATGAGCCACTGGTTAATTTACAATTCAGTTTATAGAACTGGTGCAGCTAAGTAAGGGAGTCTCCAAGAGTCCATGTTTCAGCACTGAGTGATGGACAGTTCCCCTGCACTCTTACATACTGCCAGTGGAGCTCCCATGTCAGATGTTATGACCTATTAAACAGGTAAATAAACTGCGTGGAACATGTGTCACAACATACTTTAGTGTCCTTAAGAGAAATCTTAATGCCGGAGCTTGGCAGTCAGTCTGACACTGTGGGTCTCTCTCAGCGCAGGAAGTATAATGTTGCCATGGAGTCAGTGAGTTAGTTAGTATTTTAGCCTATATTTGTTTACATTTCGGCAAATTGTCATTAAAAGTATGCCGAATTAGCTATTAGTACTTCCTGTTTGGAGTGTACCCATGGATGTACAAACAACATTCATTGCATAACTCTGATACTGAAGAAGACTTAACATGATGATTCTCAGGCAAGTTCTGGTGTCGTAAGACCTTCTTAGAAGTCTTTTTTTCTATGATTTCAAAGTCGAGTTTTCTGGCAGTGATAAGAGAATACAACTGTCTCTGGCTTTACACTAAATAAAAAGGTTTGTTATTTATCTTTGCATTCAGACAGAAGAAGAAGAAAGCAGGGGGAAACACATAACCTGACTCTTTCTAAAGCCAAAATACACATCAACCACCACCTCTAAAAAATCAATTAATTAATTAACACTTGTATTTTCTTTGTTTAATTCATACAAAAACAAGAGCATCGTTTTTTTCCCTTTGGACAGAGACAGGCCAGCTGTTTCCAGTCTTTATGCTAAGCCAAGCTAACCATCTCCTAGCTTCATATTTGACTTACAGACATGAGTGCGGTATCAAACATGTCATCAACTCTTGAAAAAAGAGAACTGATCCTTGAAGAGAGAGAGAAGCTCTGAATGTGTGTTTCGGCACTAAGTGATAGACAGTACCTCCTCAGTACTTTGATTATGGTAAGTGGAGCTCACATTTCAGATGTCATCCCTTATCAAATAAGCAAATATCACACACCAGTATTTTAAGACTCAAAGAGATGATGAGTTCTAAGGCGTCATTCTTTTTATCATTACCAACTTACTGTGAATGCAGGCCATATTTAACTGTGGATAATGAGTGAATCTATCTGAACACACTGCTATATCCCAGGCACCCCTCATACATGCTCTTGTTGTTGAACTTGATATGTACACTACAGTATATTATTAATGGCTGAGGCTTCCAGTCAGTCTAATTCTGTGATGTCTGGCTCCTGGCCACACTTTCACAGCTCTATTAATTCTCTCCCTTTCCCCCTCCCTCCTCCGTCCTCCTCTCTCCCTTCATGTTTCTCTGCCGCTGTAGCTCATTACATTCCATTACCACGGCCAGAGCAGAATGTGGAGATGGTGTGAATACAGCAGGAGATCAGCTCGGTGTACAGTGCATTGAAGAGGCCATGTACTGTCAAGTTCACAGACATGCATTATCCTATGAGAATCTGTAGAATGGCATAGGGCAGAGCTACTTCATTCTCTCGGTCGCGCTGGTTCAGACAGGCTGGCTGACTTATTATTGTCTCCCTCTCAGAGCTGTCAGTGGATACATGGCCAGCGTTTAGAGGCTGTTACTGCAGCCCAAAGCTGTATGCATGACATATTTTAGTGTTTGATTCATTCAAGGAAATTAGTATAACTTATTATTTTCATGCTCTTCTATTGCAGCAACTCACAGCCACAGTATACCTGAAATGGAAAACACCAGATATTCTCAATTAGAAAATACAAATACAAATCCACAATGTGACACAGACAGTAATTTCCACTGCAGCAGTCTAATTCTGTCTGTCTGCTTGTTGAAAGCTCCTCACGCTGCCCCACAGTTACCCTCAACTCAGTGAGTTACGGCGCTCTGCCTGCAGAATAAAACATGACATGCAGTCCGGGCCTGAACAAGGAACCCGCCGGGGTCGGGAGAGGTTGACTGAATCATGAGTATACATCATTCGTCTGAGTGTCATTTTTAGTTAGCGCACGGTCAGAAGACGCTCTTTACCATTTGTTCGGACCGTGTGATGGTGGGGGAGGACATGGCTCCACACGGGCATCTGGCAGTTATGACGGATGACAGTTAGCTTCGCCAATGCCCCTGCTGCATTCAGTGCTGTTGGTAAAAGCTGCTGCTTGTCTGCTCGCTACTCTGCCGAGCAGTCAAAACTGCAGATTACTGATTGAGTGTGTGTGTTTGTCTGAGCCTCTACTAACTGTTGTGTCTTTATGTGCGTCCTCAGGTACACAGAGGAAGAGATTCGACAGAAAGTGAGCACATTCAGACAAATGCTGATGGACAAGGAGGGCGTTATCACCAGAGAGGGCTCACACACACAACCAGTGTAAGTTACTATGCATCCTGTCTATGATGAGGTGTAATGCAAAGCTGCATCTGTATCTTTCTGTGTCACAAATATAATTGTGTCTGTATTTGGCAGTGGTGTAAGGCAGTAGTGATTTATTACAGATATATTACAAGTCAAAATTTTACAAAAATTCAATAGTATAAAATACTTATAGTACAAAAGCTGCAAGTACTCATTATCTAGAAAGGATAATTTCAGAATAAAGTATGTTATATTATTGGATCATAGTTATTGATGCATTCATGTTGCAGCTGGTAAAGAAGGAGCTAGTTTAATTTCCTTTATACTGCTGGGTAGAATTGTTTTAGGATTTTCACCCAGGGATCAATAAAATCTTGACCTATTATAATGCATCATAATTTATTTGTTGATTAAATGTTGTTGTTCATTAATCTAAATCTGTAAAGTAACTAGTGACTTAAGTTATAGGGTAGCGAAGGAAAAAGTACAATATTTGCCTCTGATATGTAGTGAAATAGAAATATAAAGAAGTAGAAAATGGAAAAGTACAAGTACCTCAAAATTGTATTTAAATCTATGTAATTTTTGTTGCTTTCCACCACTGGTATTTGGATTTATAATAGAAATTATAGAGAAATTGTCTAGTCTGCCTCTGTTATTTGTACTCATACATATATTTATAAGTCAAGCTGTCAACAAAATAACCAGAATTAAGCAGAAAATAAAATGTGTATTTGTCTGTGTTGAAATCCATAGTGGAGATACAACAGGAACTTAGTGGAATAGACTAGTCAGAAATGAACTGGGCCACGTTGCATGATGCAATTGGAAGAAGCCCAGTGAAAATATAGTTCGTTTGAAGTGTCAAGAATCATGAGGATCAGGAAGTAAAAGTAACACCTGTGACAAGCATATTGCTGCAAAAATGTGGATTCAGAGCACATTATTTGTACACATATGATGATGTAGTCGCTAACACCCCTAGTGTGCATGCATGCTTATTTACCTTGCCTCCTTTTTGCTCCTTGCTGACACATTTTTTCTTTCAGCTAATTTATTAGAGAACCCAAAGAGTTTTGTATCCTTGATAATAAATTAATTACAAAATGAATACAAATGCTTTATAGTAAATGAATCTAATAAAAGTAGACAGCAGTAAATATGAAATGCCAGCAGAAATTGATTTTAAAAAAGGCTATGAAAAATGGCCTGCCAGTCTAATAATGTCTTCAGGCAGGCCCATTCCAAAGAATATGGACCGTGATTACAAAAGTGCAATACATTTTCATTTAAATCCTTGGCTTTTGACTGATAATGCCTCTCTGTGAATACACAGGGAATGGTTAAACCCTGGTGCTCTGAAAATAATCAGCACCATTTTAAAGTCTATTCTAAACTCTGCTGGAAGCCAATGAGGCGAAGATTGGCATGATAATTGTCAATTTGTTTAGTGTTCAGCCTCGCAGCCTCAGCTTTGAGCGGGAGGTGGGAGGGAGAGCGTCTCATCTGAAGCAAGCAGAGACAGAATTAAAGGAATAAAAATAAAAGATTGCGTGTCTTATTCCAGATCACAGAGAGACACACTCGCTCACAAAGGCCACCGCTTCAGCCGTCAAAAAACATGAAAAACAGCAACAGCAGGATGTAGGCGTGGTGGCCCTCCTGAGTCAATGCCTCATACCGTGTGTGAATGATTGAGAGAGGCAGTGTGGTGGTGGCGACGTGACCCGCTGTCTGCGAATTAATGACTGGTAATGACGATGATGTTTCCCGTCTCGCAGCCTAGACTAATGATTCTCCCTCCTCTGCACCTTAGCTGATGTCTGATATTGGGACAGACCATGCTGAAATGAGGAGGTACACTGAGGGAGTTATAGAGGACGGTTACACACAGGGGGAGGAATATAACAAACATCTGTGGCCCAGAGAAAGTAAACTATGAAGATACAGAAAGCTTTGTTTGTTTTTCTTTTCGCATTAGTTCACTCTCAAGGGCACTTCTGAGTCAGGTCAATTTGGGATGTCAGAGCTCGCTTCAAATTCGGCAACTTTCCCTCTCCAGAAAGGCCTTGATGTGGAAAATTGAAGATGGTTGGTAATTTGCAGGGTTGTTATCCCCCCCCCAACTCCCCCTCACACTCACCCAGCCCCTTACTCAGACACACACACACACACAACAGCAGACATCGTTCTGAGGTAATCTCTGTCCCTCTGCCCAACATTGTGACGTTACTTGTGAAGTGCCTCAATCAGAAGCTTTATGTGAAGCATGCCTTAATCAACCCACGGGTTGGCCTCGGGCCAAAACTGTAATATAAACCCTAACTGACGACTCACTGCCACTAGCAATAAGCATATCAGAACAGTCCCCCGCATGAATAATGTAGGTAATGCGGTAAGGGACCCTCACATCAGCTAATGTTGGCCCATGAGGGCCTAAGTCAACTGTGGTAAACAGCCAGCAGTATGCACGTATGTGTGAGTGACCTCATATTAATGGAGAGGTTGTGTCACTGCTACCTCTGTCTGTAAAACGATGCTAAACCAAGATGGTACACATAGTAAACATTAAACCTGCCAAACATCAGCATATAGGCATTATTCTTGTGAGCATTTAGCCCAGAGCACCGCTAAACACAGCCTCATTTTGATTGTACCTCAAATTAGATATTTTGATTGAAATTTCAAAGGTATTGCAAACGTATGTCACATACTTGAATAAAGTCACAAATCAAGTCATAAATCAAGGTAACATGAACCCCCGTTGAGGTTTTTATGAAGTAGTTTAATCATGTGTAATGTAAATGTGAATTATTTAAGAAACCACTTATTTACACACATCTTTGTTAGCTGTGTTTATCCTCCTGTATGCCTATACATTTATTCTGTGGACCCATAGCAGTTAATCTCATTGTAATTTAGGCACAAATTGATGCTACACAACTTCAAGCAAAAAGAGATATAGATAAAGATAACAGGCATAGAAATGTAGATTGGCTAAATGATAATGGAGGCTTCATCTCAAACTCAAACACACTGCTGCCTTCAGTGTGTTTGAGTTTGCTCAGCTGGGAGGTTTTATTCAGATGCTATCTTTTCCACAGGGACTATTACTATTGACAGGCTTGGCCCCTCAGCTGTACCTTAATACTCACACACTAGCAGTAAACAGCCTGCAGTAAGCATGGATGTGCTAGCTCATAACTCTGTTTACCGATGTCCCACATTGATTTCCTGCAGAATGGATGGGAACACAGAAGGAGAGAAGGAATGCAGTGTGTAAAGCCTCTAGAGCTAAAGCGAGACTGTCCGATCGGAACAGGATCAATGGGGAAACTGACCCTGGGCTTCACATAGCTGCTCAATATGTGATAAAAAGGCCTGAGACCGACGTTTCTTCATTAGAGATATATTTACTTTCAATAACAATGGACCATCAGTTCCACTGTTGTGCACATGGGTGCATCCAGAACATCAAGGTTTTCCCCCATGATCACAGAATTGATCAGCTCAGCGTTAACCCTCAGCCTGCTCAATCCTTCATCTTAATACGGCCTCCATAAAGCAGCTACTAGATTTGCCCCCACCCTCATACTGAGGAGTAATCAATCCGGCCTCCACCTACCTCCTCCTCCCAGAATAACAAACTATAACTCTCTGCAGCAATAGAAATATATCCGGGCCTTCAGTGGCAGAGTGGCTGTCTGAGTGGGGATATGAATGAGCTGCACTACTTTGTGCTGCAGCCCTGAGGAGGGCCTTGGCTGTAGTCCATCACTGCCAGGTCCCAGGGACAGCGGCTGAATTAGGAAGTCTCCTGCCTCACCAGGGCACCATTAAGCACCGGGGCACTTACTCATCTGCCTAACAGGGACGCTGTGTTGATCACAACCAGGCTGGACAGATGTCATTTAGGAGATTAGAAACAGGATTGGGAATTAGTTGATTTATCACTAATGACTAAGCATGGGGACCATGAGATAGTTTCAATTGTTGTTAATTGTTCTTTTTGGCAGTGTGCTGAGTCCTGGACCTACAGGGACATGGTCTTAAGAGGAAGGCACAAAAACTGGCAGCCTAAATGAAACATGTTGTTTCTGAAAGGCCAAAATGAGATTTTAAATGTCAACATGTATAGTAATGTAAAGTAAATGTAAATGTATCCTCTAGTGAATTTTCCAAATTAATTTGGCTGTAGTGTCCCTGGTGCTTACAACTACGAATAGAGGGGTTAGGGTTAGAGGGGCCTCGGTTCCACTAGCAATCTCTTTCATTTGTGTTTTCTGAAAAATGAGGCATGTTCCTGGAGTTTATTATCAATTTTCTAAGACAACCAGCCTCCAGCACTCGTTTTTAGAAACTGAAAACTTAATGATTATAACAAAGTTCAACAATCACTTTGTGAGCTCAGAAAAACTTCTGGTTCTGGTTTGTATCTTTGTTTGGCAGGTATAATGTGAGTATCAGAAGGGAGACATATACAGTACAGTACAGTGTTTTATACTGCAGGGCATTGTGTGTGTGTGTGTGTGTGTGTCCCTCTTCTCAGCTCAATATTCAAAAGTAAGATGGGTCATTGTATATTCGCACGGACCGTTTCTAACTTACCCAACTTAAAATTGAGATTAAAATTCATGTGAGCTGTGTCACGCCCACACTGCCTACAGTTGTTTTCCTCCTTCTTTAATTGATTCAGTTTGTTGCTCCAGTTCGTATTAACATGATTTTTGTAATGCAAGTTTATTCATCGGGGTGAGGGCTGCAGTGCGTGTGTGTTTTGAACTCAATACTTTTCTGTGTATGTGTACGGAAAAGGGCTGTCATTGTGAAGTTGGGTTATTTTGCTGGTACTTGGCATCCCTGCTGTGCCCAGTGGTGCTCAGCCAATTAAGGGCTCTGTTGCCTCGTCTCTTCCTAACTAAGCGTTAGGCCTGTGCCCTGTTCAAATCCTCTACACACTCTCCTTCCAGACATTTCACAGCACGTATTTTTTCAGTTTTTTCTCTACACCTCCCCTCCTGATCAGACGTAAATCTGCTGTGATAGTGCAGCCCATTTGTGTTTGATCTCCCTACTAGAGATGCACTGTCCTTTGGTTTGTCAACTTCTTCCCCGTGTGTTGCTTCACCCTCGTCTCATTACTCCTGCCTGTTTTCATATCTCTCTTATTAATTGAAGGCTGCACGGTTAGTCTTGAGGTTATGTCTCTGTCATCATCACTCGAAACTAAATAACCTCTACATATAATTCCATATGTTACATCTCTGTGTATAAATACCAGAAAGCCCGGAGCATGACCTGCTGGATTTGTTAAAGCACTGGGACGTGAACAGGTCAGAGAAAGGATTGCATAGGGGAAAAATAATCAGTGTGGTGTGTGTTTTTTTATCTCTTTCTTTTGCCTTCATGGAGCCTGCAAGGTCAGATTTGGTGGATCAGAGGAGGCCACATAAGAGGGAAGGGGGTAGTGGGGCAGGGGGGATTATAGGGAGGATGTTCCTGCCATCTGTACATACAATACAGTATGTGTGAGTAACCAGTTGGAAGATTAGAATCCCACAAGCTGAGCTGCAAGAGTGAGAGATGATGATATTCTCACTGCCGGGGTGAGATAAAAATACATTCACAAAAAACTTTCGTGTTTGAGCATGAAATTTTCATATACTTGCCTTTTGTTTTTGTTTTTTCCTTAACCCAAGTTGGGTCCAGATGGCTTAGGTACACGTTAGGTACATAGGGCATTACATCATGGGTGAACATTTTTAGCTAGCGTTGTTGCTCTGTGGCAAGGTCGGTCCACCACCTTGGTCCAGACTGAAATGTGTCAGCAACTATTAGAAGGTTGCCTTGAAATTGTCTACAGACATTAATTTCCCCAGAGGATGAATCCCACTGGCTTTGGTGATCCACTGACTATTCCTCTAGCACCACCAGCAGGATGAAATGGGTTTTCAGTGACATATCTCCACAACTATTGGATAGATTACCATGAAATTTGGTCCCTACATTCATGTCCCTGTCTGAATGCATTGTAATAAAATTGCTGATCCCTTAACTTTTCTATCCAGCGCCATCATCTGGTCAAAATTTCTATTTGTTCAATAGTTTGGTTGTGAGTCAGTACACAAACGCCATACAAGGTTTGAGATCATTTAGAAAGTGTCTCGAGTACATTTTTCAACTGTAAAATATTCCGTATATTAGTATGTATTTTGTAAAAGATTGTCTTTTTATGTTAGGGCTTTTAAACCAGGGGTCTCAAAGTCAAATAGGCCACTATTTACCATAGGTTAGGTCTCTGTCATGACAACCAGGGCCAGACCTGGGCTCACCATACATCCACACTTGTTTCTCCTCTCACTCACAATACACATACACTCTCACCGCATTTATGATCTCCGGCTCTTGTGTCTTCAGGGTCAACCACCTGCACTATCAGCCTAATGAGTATGAAGAGGACCCTGAATTGGTTGGCTATGAAGATGGAGACTATGACCATGATTACCACAGTGACAACAGGTAAAGCACACGTTCAAACACGCACTCATAATGTATAAATGACCAGCTCTGACCTCTCAAGTGGTGAATTAAATCCTATTATGTCCTTTACATGGCCTCTGGGTGTTTCCTTTGATGATATCCATAACATAAAGGATACAAATGCTCTTCAAGCAACCCATTATTATTTCTGCTTGTAGCCCATAATGCAGATGGTCAAGTGTAATTTCCTCAAAGTGATTTCCTGTTTCTATTGTAAGATATATTGCATGGATATTGTGTATTATGGCAGAATGAATTGCGGAAATGAGAAAATAGACACATATCGCCTTGTTATCAGCACAGCAGCAAATAACTATAATCAGACATTTATTCTTTCTGCAAAATTATTATAATAACAATCACTTGTAAATTATTTCTGCCTTCCTCGCTCTCGATCTCGCTCTTGATCTCGCTCTCCCTCTTGTTCTCTCTTTCTGTGGCCAATTCAGAGTGAAGAGGAAATCAAGCAGCTCTCCATCCCCTCGTCCAAAGAAAAGGAAGAAGAAGAAATCTGGCCGCCGGAGGAGTCGGTGAGTGGAAACAGCTTCCACTGATGAAGTGGTTCGATTTTTTCTCCTTTTTTTCTGGCCTCGTTGACAGAATAATTACACTGTGGTATTATGAAAAGGAATTGCAATTATTTTGGCGTGAATATTGCAAACAAGCCATCGGATACTGCAATTGTGGAGGTGGGGAGGGGATCTGTAGGAAATCATTAACAATGCATAGTCTTATCTTCCATTTTCTTTTTGACAAGGTCAGCGAAAGAAATAGAGAGAGAGAGAAGGAAAGGGTACAGTGGTGCTAAAGAGAAGGAAGAATAAGAAGAGAGAGGCAGAGAGATGAGTAGAGCCTTGGTGAGAAAAATTATCTGAGCTATTATAGGATAGACACCTTTCCTAACAATGATCCCTCTGAGGTGTAGTGTAATGCAGCACAATGATGAGTGAAAAGCCAGAATTCAACAGCAATCTGAGGCTCATTTTGCAGTCATGGCATGCAAATGTTTCCCCTCTCTCCATCAACAGGTTTGGCAGCTCCTCACCCACTCACAGAGAGAAGAAGAAAAAGAGTGGGAAGAAACACAAGCGAGACAGGTGAGAGTGTACATACCGCATGTGAGTGTCATCACAGACATTTCATCTCAAGAAAGAAGCTCCGACTTTTCAAGGGTTTGTCGACAGTCGCTCTCACAGTGATGGATGTGAACAAAGACGAGGAGAAGAGATGGAAGAAAATTAGGAGGATAAACGTGGAAAAGGAAAGGAAAGACGAGAAAAAGAGAAGGAAAGACAGGGAGGGAAAGGAGGGGAATAAAGACATGAGTCATGGGAGACGAGACAGAAAGGAAGAGAGACGGGAAGAAAAAGAAAGGGAGGAATGACAGTGGAAACAAGAAAAGAAGAACTATGGGAAGAAACAGAAGAAAAAATTGAAGAAGAGGAATAGAAAGGAAGGGAAGAAAGAGAATGGATGAAATCAAGGAGGAAAGATGGGAGGGAAAGACTAGAATATAAGGGAAAAGGAAAGTTAAAAAGAAAAGGAACGACAAGAAGAAACAAGAAGAGGAAGAAGAGACAACTGAAAAGAAAAGGAGGGGAATTAAGACATGATTCAAAGAAGACAGAAAGGAACAGAGACGGGAATAAAAAGAAAAGGGAAAAAGAGAATGGATGAGAGGAAAGAAAGGAGAGAGAAAAGACTAATAAAAAAGGAAGAAGGGAAAAAAAGAGCAAGAGCTCATCAACAAATGCTTGTGCGATGCCTTGGGATATCATAACCACAATAAGCAATCGTAGACTGCCCTCGTCCTCCAATTTCTCTCATTGTGTGCCTGACTGGGGGCGGAGCGGGGCTAAATGTGTTGCTCTAATAACCCAGCCTGTTTGGGGGTGCACAACACAAGAAAAATGAGCCTCTCACCAAATAGCTGAGCACCACTGCACTGCCCCGCTCTTGTTTCCCACCTCTCATCCATCCACGCACATCCCAGTCCCCCTCGTCCTCTCCCATCACCCCCCCCACACACACACACACACACACACACACACACACACACACACACACCTCCCTCCCAGCCTCACACCAAAGCTGCTCTGCATTGCAGGTACTGTTGATATATGAATAATGTATAGGTGAGGCGGCGATGGCCCCAGAGTAGCCTCCCTTAATGTCAGTCTTCTTTTTAAGTTGCACATTAGGAGAGGAGGGGAGGAGGAGATTACTTTGATTCTGTCCTGCTAAAATTCATACCGCTGCTTGTTTGTAATATACAACTTTAAAATAATAGCTCTAGGTATACTCACATGTTTCACATATAATATCCATGTCTTTGTAGTAGAAGGTGGGGTGAGGGGATTTAGCTACCAGAGTGTGTGAGAGAAGAGAGGAATAATGAGCTCTACAGAATAACAGCTCGTATACAGTAGTCCCCAGTCAACTCCCTCCAGTGGGGAAACAGGGGCTGCTTCTGGGGGCCACAGCTCTGAGTCACATATCAGCCACATACATTACTGTGACAGCTTTATTACTCCCCTTTCAGAGAATCAGCACACTTTGTGCTGGCACTCCCTCCCACTCCACTGCATGCTGTAGGTGTGTAAAACAGCGGAGGAGATGTAGGGCTCTTCAGCAAAATAGCAACAACTCTCACAGACCGGCCTGACTAATCACCATGGAAACTGCAATGAGGGTGAAAGTGATATGGAGGTGATGTGTCAGTTGAACGCTGTGGACTGAGGAATGGCAGGCCTCCCCATCATTACTGTATACTCAGATAGGTGGTTAAAAGGAAACTGAATTTCAGTTTATTATTCCTGCTACCTACAGCCAGAAATAAAAAAATAAAATAAGCACGACATCCAGCACCTGTAGAATAGATACTGGAAACACCTGGTGTGAGAGCCCCCTGGGGACGTCTCTGCACATATAGATGCATGCATGTGATTCAGATTGGTTAGCATTTAATATTCCATTTAGGAGTTAGCACATGAAAACAACATGATCCTCCTGCTGTTCACACTGACATGAACATATTCTCTGATAGGTCGCTGTAGCCTGACACTGCCTTTGTGTCTGCATCTGTTTGTAATATTGACAATTCTTTCATTCATATGCTATATTTGTTATCAAACGTACGTGTGTGTGTTATATGTATCTACATATACATATGTGAGAGATGTTTTATTGAGTCTATGAGTTATTGTCTGTATACTCTGTAATACACTGCTGCTAAATGAACCTCAGCTGCATGGGTAGCTGAGTCACCTTCAGGGACTTTATGTCGTTTCAATATTCTTTGAAGGTTTATGTGAAGATATATTAAAAAAGGAAATAAAAACATGTGGCACACAGATTGATGACAGCACCGATTGGTTTTGGGTTCAGCCTCCAGCACTTGTCCAAAATACTACCTGTGATGTCCTAGAATTTATTTCAAGAAGATAGTAATTCCCAGAACCACCTCAAATCTGGAACACAGACTGATGTAAAAGTACCTTTTCTGAGCAAAAGGTAAATCTGGAAAGGTTAACCAGATTACTCAGTACCATGCAACCTGCTTCTTGGAACAGGCCCTGGTCCACAGCTGGAGCATGCTGTATTGTATATTAATTATTCAGTGTATTATGTGATGAAGTTGTTGTCATTATAATGATTGGGGTGACTTTATCTTTATAGATCTGCATCTGGCTCCAGGAAAAAGAGGAGATACAGGTGTGTAAAAAAAAAACAATACATCATAACATATCAGCACTGTTAACAACATTGTTCATGTGCATCATAGCAAAATGCTGCAAATGAGTTTTCTTGTTTAAGGTGTGTGTAATATTATTGTCATTTCTGCTTATTGATTACTGTTTGTTCAAAAGACAATCCATATGGGTGAGTGGTACACTGAGTTCCCTTTTTTTACATGCTTTAATGTCCACAGCTTCATTATCTTACGTATGACCTGTGTTTCAGATCGGGCAGCCCAAAGAACAAACACAAAGACAAGAACAAACAGAAAAAGAGGTGAGACGCACATAGAATCACTACGATACCATTTACATGGTAATGTTGAGCCGATAGATATGTCTGCTTATTACAAAGTTTCACATTCATTATCAGTCAAAGGTAATGTACATATACACTTTGCACAGTGTGTAAGAATAAGTGAAGCACAATTTGTCCTTCGCACACAGTCAAACAAACAGTCCTCAACAATGGCTACAATTGGAATCACGTTCAGTCTCTCATAAATTTATATTGGTATTTTACACCCATTATCTCAGGCTCAGCCTCACAGAGAATGTTAATGACTGTAAAGCACCGAGTGCATCTTCTAAGCATTATGTGCGAGTTCGACACAATTTCCATGCCATACATTGCACCCTGTCCCGATTAGAATATATATTGAAAGTGTTTGGCAGTGCATGAACTGTCTTACATATCATGAGACAGACTACTGAGCTCGCTGTGGCATGTGTGTCCCCGTGATGTATACGTACATACACGTGGCTTTATGTGTCTATCTGTATGCATGTGTGTGGTGTGTGTTCGTCCATTTGTTGTCTTCCATCAGGTCCCCCGGTGAGACCCCCAGTAGGAGTTCACAGCGTCAAGGCAGCTGCTGTAGCTCCCGCAGCGCCTCCCTGTCCTCAACGCGGAGCACCTCCAAATCTCCTGCCAGGTAGACTCCTCTACACACTCACACACACATACACTTCACACACTGATATTGAGTGTTGTGCAGTTGCCCTGGTGACTGTCAGTCTCTCTCTCATTTAGTCTCGGCCCTAGGGGGATAGATTGGGATAGAAATGGGGCTCCTCTGCATGTCTTATAATAACCCCCATTAAGTGGCTGTGATATCTCACTCAGCACTCATTGTTGAGTATCAAGTGTGATGAAAAAAATATTCATTGTTGGTAACACTGTTAGTCATTTTATGTGGCACATAGCATCTTATTTTTCTTTTTTTTCGTAAGCCGTATTTTACTATGTTTAAGAAATGTCCTGGTTTCTGATTCTAAAGATCCTATTTTTAAGTTCTGACATATTAACCAGATAGCTTTTCAGTTATCTGTAGGGAAAATAAGCTTATAAAGGGGAGCATTTCTACTCTTCTGTGCAGAGTACTCGCTCTCTGAAAAGCCAATAACAGAATCATTATTTCATGAGATTTTATGGATTGTGACATGTTACATTTAACTTAGGTTTCTGGGCCTGCAATTATTAAACTTTGAAGAATTACAGAATGATCTTAAGAATGAACTCATAGGTGAAAAAGTTCTTTGTGAGTGAGCAACCCATTTATCAAGTGACTTACTGCTACTGACAGAAAATAGTAAGATCAGAAAGGATCAAAGTGGATGCAGCAGAACCAGAGATATCGTTTTTTATTCCATATATTCTTCTTCACTATCAAAACCTGGCGCCTACATTACCCACAATGCAGCATGACTGCTTAAAGTTCAGTCTGATATTTGGGGGTGTTATGCTAGTAGCGGCTAATGTAGCCCCAAGACGCCAGCCTCAAGCAGAGATGAGGAGGGGGCTACAAAGGTTTGGTAAGCTCTCTTGTTTCTGACTCAACAACCCCAGATTTTCATTTTCAGACTTGTAGTCTCCAGACACAACAGATGCTGACTGAAGTGACATCACTTGAGGCGAAATCCAGCTCCTACTGGAGACACAGAATTACCACTTTTTCACAAATACAGAAGTAGTCCCCAACACCTGTGAACAGGCTAAAGTCTGTGGAGTTCCCCTTTGAGAGCAACTCTCAGGCGATCACACGATTAACCACATGAATGCTCAGAGCAGGAACAGCCAATCAGAGACCAGGATTTACCCTACATCTGTCCCATTGTTCATGTTATTCTCTACACCTGGGCTTTTATTGTGTTTTTGTGAAATCCTCCATCTCCAGTAGCAATTAAAATGTGAAATTAACAAAAATCTATTATGAATGATACATAAATATACAAATAGTGATATATATAATGAAATAATAGGAAATTGGTTGAAATGGAAACAAAAAGAAAACCAAACTGGAGCAGGAAATAAATAAAAAATGAGGTACATCAGAAACATGGTACCACATTGACAATTGCTGACAATGAAGATGCACAGAAAGAGATCACAAACAAAATCATTGCAGCTTTATTCATGTTCATTGCACCTTTAATGAATGCAAATAGAAATATGCATATTGATTCAGCTAACACATTCTTCATGGTGACCAATGTGAAGCTCTCTTCAATCCAATTTTAAGTCAAACACATTTTGAAGATCTGATCCGGGTCCCCAGAGGCTTTACCTACAGTGTTTCTGTGCGGCTCTGCTCTTCCAGACTGAACTCCAAGCACAAGATGGACGGACAAAAGGCGTCCGGCACCTCGCTGTCCCCGGGCCCCAACACTCCTGCTGCATGGCACAACGGGGACCACACCCAGCGAAGCCGCAACGGCAAGGCCGGCAGACTCAACCACGCCGAGGGCGAGAAAGGGCACGATGTATGTAATCTCCTCTATTTTACTCCCGCACCCCCGCCCTCCCCCCACCCACTCCAACGATATCTTCCATAGTCTCTGCAAATGAGTTTTATCTTGCTCTCCTGTGTTGGTTGACATGAATTCTCATCTCCTTTGATGTTGAAAGACTTTTTCATTCTTTTATCAGTTATTGATAGGTTGTAGGCCAGTTATTATTATTGATAATATTATTTTTGACACTCCTGTGTAAAACTTGCCGCTCCTGCTGCTTTGTTTCTGGCTCTCTTTGACTCCTCTGCCATCTTGATTTTTTTGTTTGTTCTTGTTGTTTGCTGGTAACAGAGGGAGGGAGCAAAGAGAAGAAAGGTTCTAGTGTTTCTGTTCAGCACACATCCTTCTGAGTCGAGCCACAGCATTAGCATACCACACCTTGAATGGAAATATGAGCCGCACTGGCACACAATGTTTCCAAATGAATGAGCAAAAAGATGTGTAGTTTCTTCCGAGCGGATGCCTGCTAAGGCATAAGGAAAACAAAATAAAGTTGAGCCAGGGACAGGTATGACTACTACAAACATTTGCTTGTTTGCTGCTTTAATGTGATAATGATCTGCAATTCCTCCTTGAACTGACTAATCCAATTACTTAATGGAAAGTCTTGATCCAAGCATGCCAAAATGAATTGTAACAAAATATGGCTAAGAACAAGGTGCAGCTCTCCATTCCCAGTATCAGCTGTTTGTGCTGGGGTGTATGGAAGATTTAAAATGCCTAAATTAAAACAAACCAAACAAAGAAATACTGAAATACAGTGCACATTGTTGTATATACAATATATATACATATGTTTTCCTTTTTTATGCATTTACAGGAAATAAAGGACAATAATGTTGCTTTTTGTCTTTAATAACTGAATACATTTGTTTTGTTATGACATACATTTTTCATCTCACATTTAAGTCACAGAGAAGCAAAACTTAGAGCATCTTTAGCTTCTGAAAAGTGATGTATTTCCATGTGAAATGGAAGATGTGGGTAGGGTTTAGTTATTAAAGAGATTTAAATCAGATGCTACTGATTTGATTGGATTGGATTGGATTACTCAAAAGCGGGTGTGGCTTAGATATTACAGTGAGATGCAGAGCCGAGAAGAAGGATAAAGGTTAGATTAATAACTTATACCTCAATTACATTCTTCGGAAATGTAAACAAAGTTTTTGCCAGTCACAATCCAAACGCAAACCTCTCATTAAGATATAGCTCTGCTAGCTAACCACAAGCTAACAGTCAAGTGCGGTTTTATATCGATTCAACACATTTATGTTCCTTCCCCAAGTTCATGAATCAACAAAAATATTTATTTATTTATTTATTTATTTATTTTCCAAGAAGAGAAAAGAGAGATATTTTTATATAAAAATACTTTTTTGTATTTTTCATCTTGCTGTGTTATTAAAATTAAATCACAGCACAGAAAACAAAGTGAATAATGTATTGCATTTCAGTGTTGTCCAGCAGAGAGCAGCATAGACCTGCCAATACAAAATACAAAGCACTGTCATTAGTTTTTATGAGGAGGTGCTAGGGAGCTTTTTTTTTAATGGCAATGCTTCACGCATTGCAAAAGTGAAAAACAATCACAGCTTGGGGCGGAACCTGGGGTCGACCTTTGCTGATATCATTGCTGGCAAAAAGTGATGACAGCAATGACAAACAGCCTGTTAAATTAAAACAATATTCTGTTGGCTAGCCAGCTGCAGGGACATTACTCTTGAGTTTAGTTACATTTGTGATATTTCACTTTATTTCTTTGTTTGATTTGTTTTTATTTAGGCATTTTAAATCTTCCATAGAGACGAGCTGCATCCCAAAACTGTGTTGTGCTACACCTGAATCTGTATCATCCCTGGACACTTTAAATAATAAAGGGGTAACTCTGTTCTTAAAATAAAAACAGCACCACATGTCCATAATAGGCTCCTAAAGTCTAAAGTGTTCTAAATCACACATATATACTCCTCTCTACTTGTTCAATTTAGAACTGCTACTTGTTTGTTTTGACTCCTTTGAAAATAACCATCTCTCGTAGTCTCTGATTACCTAAAAGATAGTGCCTGTGAAGAGATTTAAATCACTTTTTGCTATTATGGAAACAACCTTGCTCTTCCGTGCTGTAAATTGATCATTAGAGCTACAGTAGGATGACAGCCATTATGTTCGAATGAAACAAAAGACATCGCTTAAACCAAAGGGATCACTTGTGAAATAATCTTGGTCTGATGAACAAGCATCTAAATGGGCTGCAAACAGCCGGAAACACTCGCTCCAGAGTACTGATGTCTTCTATTTTCTACTCCAGCTTGCTTGTGTCTGTGAGGTCTTATCTGGTCTCTTTCTCTCTCTCTCTCTCTCTGCTTATTTCATTCATTACTGTTTCTTTTTTTTCCTTAACAATTTAAGTGGTATTTACCCATGAATAAATGCCCAAATCTTTCTGTCTCATTTATATAAAAAGCACTCAAATGCTTTGGAACTGGACCAAGTAGGTTAACTGGGTATGTGTAATAGTTTCTTCTTGTCAATACAGTTGTCTTTCTTCTCAAGCACATGCTCTGCTCAGTGATAGATCCTCTTCTCCTCCAGGCGTCCAATCAGCTCCTGCCAAACCACCAGGAGTTAAAACACATGCTCCTCTCTGTTGCTTTACTTTACCATGTTGATGTGCATGTTGCCCCTAGGTGGCAGTATCTCTTCTGTCCATGACGTTTGTTTCTACTCTTATAAGCTCAGGCCAGTGGAGAATGGCAAGGGAGGTCTGTTTGATCCTGTACTTTGGAGCCATTCAGTTGGGATGTAGCGAAAGAGGAGCATTTAATTGGCTCACATTCTTTTTAAGCAGCATCTTTGTAGCACAAGGTGATGTTGCCACTCTTGTTAATCTCCACCAAAAGCTAAAATATTTGTTTTATGATAATGATCCCCACACTGAAATCTTTGCACAGGAGGATGGTTATTATGTGTGACAGATCCTGGATGCAACTGAAGTTTGACTTTACTGCAGCAGTTGTGTGGTTTAGCAAATGTTCTGTATAGCAGCTCTGGTTGTCTATCTATCATCTCAGTTTGTGTTCCTGTAGTCGTCCTCTAGCCCCGCTTGGATCTGTCTCATCCACTGCGTGGGAGACAGTCCTTAATGCTTCCCATAAAAAAGCTCAGGGAAACAGCTCTGCACTGCTCTTTATCGGAGGTGAAGTTAAGCGGACGTCTGTTTACCAGACCAGCAAGTTAGTCCCTCTCCTTGAAGACGTCTCTCTGGAAAAACAGAAACGTGGGGTTAGAAAAGAATAAATCTTACCTTTGTGTGGCCTTTTCCAAGTTTGTTTTAGAGTGTGGCTTGATCCACCTTGCTGCTCCTTGTGGCCAATGGGGGAACAACACCCACTACATCTGCAGTGCATCAATCATAGAGTGTTACAGCGACTCTCAACAGACCATTATGACCTCCGAGGATCATGTGACTGAAGGAGACAGCCGAAAATGTCAGTAGGATAGTTTCTGGTAGCTTTGCTGGCAGATTAGCTTGCTACACCGTCACATCACCCTCACCTTGCAGGTCATAGCGGCCTGTCGAGACTCTCTCAGGTGTGTACTGTTCTTTGGCCACAGGGGCCAATAATGAGTCCATTACAGATTGGTGCACCAGAATAAGTCAAAGAATACACCACACTCAAAAACTTACTTGGACAAGCTGTACAAATAGGAGATTTATCCTTTATTTTAAGTGTTTTCTGGTATTATGTCAAATTTTTTTCAAGAGAGAAGGCTTCAAGGACGAGGACTAGTAGGTTTGGTAAAGGCGTGTGCTTAAAAGTTTTGTGCGTAGGATTTAGCGGCATCTAGTGGTTGCAGATTACAACATCCTCTCCTCACCCTCTCGTTCCAAGTGTGTAGCGGAAACTATAGTGGGCATGAAACTCTCGAACAATGTGAAAAGCCCTATCTAAAGCCAGTGTTTGGTTTGTCCATTCTATACTGTAGAAACATGGCGGTCCAGTTATTTTAAGGTGATTATACACTAATGAAAGCATAGCTATGCATATTATATTCAGTTTATGCCAATAGATCCTCCTAAATGTTACACACTGGACCTTTAACTGACCCTCCTCCGATGAAGAGCAGCAGCCGCTTCCCCAAGCTTTACAGTGGGAAACATTTGGCACTGTCTGAAAGAGACGGTCCCAAACGGGGCTAGTCGTCTTCTTGCTCATTATTAATGGATGTCTTCAAACACTTCAAACACAAGTACATGGACTCTTGAAAATAACTAGGACAACTCACACATTTATTAACATGATTGTGATTTTAAAGGGACCCAAGCCATTTTGAAAGTAAGCTCCCTGTTCACACAAACAGCTTAAACAGCAGATTTGACAAAGCTCCCTGAGGTTCTCTCTTCCCGTACCGGTGTTTATAGTGATAAATATAAAAAAAACACAAAAATAAACAGATTGCCTGGAAGAAGGCTGGGCTGACGTCCAAAAAGTAGAGAGTAGAGAGGTGCTGCTACTGAAGAAGACCCAGGCCAAAATGTGACTGGGGTCCCTTTCAAATGTGCGTACTTTCTAGTTGTCCATCTTAGCAGTGACTGCCCCTCCAACACTCTTCTACCTCACCCCCCCCCCCCTCCTCCCCTCTCTCCTACCTGTTCATCCGTGTCATGTGTGACTCACGGCTCACTCTTTGTTGTCCTGGCATTTTCCTTCCCACGTATCTTTCACATCTGCCAGCTCTGCATGCACTCCTCCTCCTCCTCCTCCCCCCGTCCCGTCCTTCTAGCTACTCTACTCTACATGGATGTCCACTAATATGACAATTAACTCTATCCGCTTACCTCTATCTCCCCCCCAACCCCCCTCCCCCGTTTTGATACAAATATGGCTGCATTTGTACAAGCGAAAAAGACAAAGCACATCATGTAGTTTATAGTTTCATCCTTTGTTTCTAATTTTAGTTTGATTTGAATTCCATCTGGATTTTTTATTTTATTTTTCTCCCCCTCTACTTTCATTTTGGTTTGTTTATTTCTCCTTAGTGTCTGGACAAAATATGTAGCTTTGATACTAAAAGAGGTCATTGTCTTTTTCCCATTTCGCTGCGGAGAACATTCCTTTCTCCTTTTTTCTTTTTTTCTTTCTTTCCTTTTTTTTGTTGATATTGCATACGTGTCACTGATTGAAATGGAAGGTAGGTAATGCTTTGCCTACGCACGTGATCTTTATGCAGATGAGAATGTGACAAGCACCCTAGCCTGAGTGACGTCAATGTTTCTCTCTCTCTTCTCTCCTCTCTCTCTCTCTCTCTCTCTCTCTCTCTCTCTTTCTGTTATTTACCAATGGTCTTTAACCAAATTAATCTAACTTCATCAATTATGATTTGACTCTTAAAAGATTGGATTACGTAGAGCTCTGGTTTTTCTCTTTCCTCCTTAACTTCATCCTGAAGTCCAATATCCCGCTCTATCTTCCAGGTCCATTTCTTTCTCTTCTTTTGTTTTCTTTCTGTTTTTGGTAGAATGCATTCCTGTTTGTCCAGCATCTCTCTGTTTGTTGGTGAATTAGTACATTCGTCTTATGATTTTCACCATATTGCTTTCCACGACTGTTTCTAACAACTGTCATAAGCACAAGTGGTTGTGTGTTTTCTTATTATACCGCTTAGTTGTCCTCTCTCTAGTGGAGAACGGCTCTTCTTTCTGCAAGGACCAGTCGGTGCTTTTGTTGTATCTTAGATTAGGAAGCAGTTCAGACAGCACATGATAATGCATGCGGAAGAGTCAGCTGTATTTGGTTTCACAAAACGCCTTTTGGAGATTTACCCTCTATTTATGGCCTGCTTACAATGAGCAGTGAATAACCGTGCATCACAAGTTTCAGTCCCCAGCTCCCACTGAGTCACTAGTTCTATTTTCTGCTGAATACTTAAAATAGAGGTTTGGTATATATTTGAACCAATACTCAGTTTATAGGATAAGGCTGGCATTACTCTATGTTTTTACTTACTTACTTCTATGAACAAATCCCTTAAAAAGACCTAAAATAACAATATTTTAGTGTACCAATACTTTCCGACTCCCTATTGTGTCTGAGGCACTAGCCCCAAATCTATGAATTCCTAGTGAAGATGTCAATTTTGAAAAACTGGTCCCAAATATGCAGTTGAATTATTAAACAAGTCTACAGCCATGTTAGCGGCACAGATACAGGAGATACAGTGCTCCTTTGAGCTAAATGCTAATGCATGCTAACATGTACACAATGGCAATGCTAACATGCCGATGTTAAGCATAAATAGACAGCTGAGGCTGATGGGAATGTTATTGGTTTCTCAGGTATTTGGTCATAAATCACAAAGTATCACCAAATAAAATCTGACCTGATGATGGCGCTAGATCAGGGGTTCACCAGTGTAAGTAGGATTCATCCTCTGGGGATCTTGAATCTCTATAAAATGTCATAGCAGTCTGTCTAATAGTTGTTGAGGCATTTCAGTCTGAGCATAAAGTGGACTAACCGACTGACTGGCAGACCAACATTGCCATCCTTAGAGCCATGAGAGTGGCTTGATAAGACTCAGCCCCCAACAAGTGCTCTTTACTCTCGTTGAATGACAAAATGACTATTTTCAGCCCTGGATTAATACACATTTGGTGCTCTGGTGAGCATTCACTAAGCTATCATGGTAGGATCAATTCATTGTTGGTTTTGGTCTTTTTGTGGGATTTATTGACAAGAAGTAAAATACATAATATTGCCAGCCCTAATCTTTAAGATAGTGGTCATTATGTAAACTCCTAGCTTCAAGGTAATTCAGTCTATTTGTGGCTCTTAAGGTCATTTTTACGTTAAAATCCCAAAGGATCCAATCACATTCTTATTGTTTTATCAATTAGATGCAACTTCACTGAACCTTCAGTGACCAAACACTTTTGGGGGTTCTTACATCAGTCTATCCCCCCATAAAGAATTACCATAAAATGTGGTTGAACCCAAGTCAATCAGCTCCCTGGAGCGACATTAAGAGAAAAGTTGGCTGTTGTGATACCTGTAAGTGTCCAGTATGAAGGAGCCCATGAACACAAACTGATGTAACCAGTAGAAGGTAAAGTAGTTAGCCTGTAAATGTGTGAGGCAGTAAACCTACAGCTGCCCTGTGGTAGATACTACATGGAGTGAAAAATGGTAAAGAAAATACCTTTAACTCTCACCAGCCAGTTGCTCTCTGATGTTTAGGAAGGTGACTGGGCCCAGAGGATTTACTCTCTGTGTGAGGGATTCCCTGCACATTGTGGTTTTCCTCTTTGCTTTTTGAGTTCTTTTCCATTGATTTCCATGCATTGTCTCATGAGTCACTGGCAGGGAAGGGTTTTGTGTCTTTTTCTCTTGCATTTTGTGAATCTAATGATGCACTTATGTTGCCCCACTTTTCCCTTTTCTTCATACCTTACCTACTAAAGGAGGGAATACCACTTTATTGGTAAGTGGATGTTAACCAGAAGGGAGTTAAACAAGAGTAACCATTAAAAAAAAACAAAGAAAATGGGTCGCTGTTCACATCTCAGCAATTGTCTTCAGGAAAAAAATCCAGAAAGAGAAAATTGAGTAGCAGACGATTTGTTTTCTGATTCGATTGATTCAATAATTGTGATCTTTATTTTGTTCCTTCCATTTCTGTGATGTTCCGTCAAGTTGTCTTCTCTTTCTGTTTTGTTTCATTTTTTTAACCATTACTAAAAAAAAAAAAAAAAAAAACTGAAGAAGTCCTCTTTTTCTACTCTACAAAATCTTTAGCTCTGTACTTTCTGCCTCTGCTCTTAAACTTATTTGGTTCACAGTTTTGTTTTATTTTTTTCCCTCTCTTCCTCCTCCTCCTAGTTTTTTTGTTTGTTTTTGCGATTATAATTTCTTCAACTCATTATGGTTTTGCATGCCAAGTATTGCATGCGCTGCACCATAGAGGACTATCTATAAGCCATATGGAGAAAACCTAGATCTTTTTCTTTTAGATGTTTACCTTCTTTTGGCAAGTACACCGTAGCACTCAGTCACCAACCTGGAAACACTCTAATGCTCTTTTTGTCCTTTTTCTTTTTATTTTCTTCTTTTTTTTTTTTCCTTTGTTGGTCATCATTTCTCTACAGAAGCTCCGTCTGCTGACCGCTAGCTCTGCAAGCATCCAGTCCACTCTGCTGAGAGAGCACAAGCTCCACAGCGCCCCCAGCAGGAGCCAAACGGGACAGACGTGCGCAGCAGGAGATGCTGGGAGTGTGGACGGAAGGAACACAGTTGTAGGGAGCTCCGTAAGCCAGACGTCGGGGAAGAGAGGGAGCCAGAGAGGCCAGAATAAGAGCTCCCACTCCCCTGCTCACAGCAGCGACTCGGCCCACTCCCAGCACAACCACGCTCACAGAGGGAGGAACTCTCGTCACCAGAGAAAGTAAGCACAACTTCCCTTTTCACTCTCTCTGTAGGTTTTCATGTAGCCTGCAATGTCAGTATTGTATCTCTGCTGGAGCTTTCCGCTTTAGTTTTGCCACTGAGAGATCATTATTTGACACTCGCTGTGCTGTACTGCCAATTACCTCAGGACAAAAGGTGGCCACTCTTCCAAACGCCACCACCGCTCTAGTCGGGGTCAGGCACACCACCGTAGCCCATCAGCATCTCCAGGACGCCACTCACACACGTCCGGCAGGAAGAAAGAGGAGTCTCGCAGCAAACCCAACCTCCGGCAGCGCAGCAGCTCCTGGAGCAGCGGGCGTTCATCCTCTCGCTCTGCCTCTAGAGACAGAGGCCCCAGCAAGACCAAGTCCCCACACAATAGACAGAACAACTCCAGGTGAAAGCTCGTTCTCGGGCACATTTTGATTTTGATCTCACACGCTCTGTTCTGGCCTTTCTGATGGTGTTCTGTGTGTCTCGCAGAGAGAGGGACAGCCCTAACCGCTCGGACACCGACAGCCGAGCTCGCCGCCGCTCACGCAGCTACTCGCCCATTCGCAAAAGAAGAAGAGATTCACCCAGCTTCATGGAAGCTCGCAGGATTACCAGGTAACACAGCTGTGCAGCATCATAAAGCCTCCTCCTGATAGTTTTAAGGTTTCCATTTGGACATACAGTACATGTGATCACAACTTACTTTGTGGACTTTCCTACAGCAGAACACCAGGCTCCAATGAGACAGTTTGTCTTTTGAGTTTTATTCTCAGCTTTTATATGTCTGGAATGAACAGCACTTAGACATGACACGCTTCACTGGATGTTACTCTCTGAAGTTAAAACATGTCAGATAATTTCTCTGCACTCATTCAATCATCTCGGGGCCGAAGTCGTTCTTTTATGGCTTCAAATAACAACGATGACAAGCAAAAGGAATAAAATGAGGGAATTTGTTCCTGCTCTTACTCACAACTGAAAGTTTAGAGAACCACATTCGAATCCATTAAAAACTGCAGGCACAAATGAAGGAGGTGTAAGTTTTCTGCTTTTATACATTTATATCAATCTAGCTAATAACACATTTTAATGAAATTGTTAGCTGTCATTGTGCTTTTTTTTATTTTAGTATAACAAAAAATATTAGGAATGTAAATAGCTGCATTGTTAATGCAGTAACTCTATAATCAGGTGTACTTTCACTGAGAGGCAGATTTCCATCTTTACTACAAAGAGCAGCACTGTCCTTCACTGCCTCATCTCTGATTCATGGTCAAGTCTAACGCTGGAGAACATTACCTCGAGATAAAAACACACTTTTTTTGTTGTTTTTTTACTCTGAAAACATGCACATGGTGTACCTTTTTCCAGTCCTGAACAGTGCCTGTAGAGGATGTAGTTGGTGCTGTCTGTGCTTTACTGACAAGTGTTTATATCAATGGGGGTAGGCTAACCAACAGAAACACCTCTCAGACTGCAGCCTCCTAAAATGAGCATACACATTGAATCAGTTTAAACAAAAACTGAACATTTAAACTGCATGAAAGGAGCATTTGTTGTAATTTGGCTGCATTTGTTTTAGCTAGCTGTACCTAATAAACTAGCAACAGACAACAATAAGGACATAAAATCCATACAGAAATGTAGTCGGATTACAAATGCCAAGAGAAATATGTACTGAATTCATTTCTATTTATTTATCTAGTTTTTTTGATTTCTTATAGTTTTTTTCATTGCTCCATTAAATATGGATCCATTATCTGCTTAATAACCATTCCAAGGCTCCTCAATACTGAGAGCAGATTTGTACCTTGTATCCTCTTCTGCCAATGAAAAAAGAAAACTTTTGAATTATTTATCTTTTTATAATTGTATCTTTTCCTTGAAGTTTGTGGCACTTGCAATGTCACCTCTCTAGACGTGGGTGAAACGTGTGTATCTTGTCATCTTTCACTCCAGTCCTAAAGGTCCTGATGCCAAGACAACGGGATGCTGCTGAACTGAGCTGCTGCAGGCTAGTTACCCTGGTAACAGTTGCCGTGCAGCAGGATACGGCTAGTCTGACTCCTGAAGCTCGGCCGAACAGCAAACCACCCGAGGTCCCCTGAGTAAACCTGGTCTCATCCTGTTTTTCTCTCTGTCCTTTCTGCTCCTTCATCTCCTTTCAAAAAGAAACTCATACCGACTCTAAAGCTGCACCCCACTGCGGTAATGCACTAATGCTGTAGCACAGGGAGACAGAGATTAAAATGCTATCAAGGTTTATTTAAGTGGATATCCCTCTATTGCACAGGCTGTGCATTCTCATAGCAGATACAGAAAACAAAAGTGAAGGCTGAGTAATCTCCAACGCTGCTGAAATGACAAGGTGAAACACACCTTGTAGCAGCAGGGATACCCTGATAGCGTTTATCTCTCCCCGCACTGTTGACTGTTGATTCTTCTGGGTGTTGGCCTCCACTGAGAAGAAGAGGTTCTTTTGGGAGCTAACAGCTCATTACCTTACAGGAAGCACTTCCCGGGTGGCTATTAACAAGGCAATCTAAGCTTAAGCTTAAACTAACGACATGCCTTTCTCTGCTACGTGTGTGATTACAGTGTGAGTGTGTGTGTGGTTGAACAGCTTGGACTTTTTTAACCCATATAACAGCTCTCTTTCAGATCCTGTACTGATCAAGTCTACCACTTGTGTAACCTAACACCGATTTGCTCTTAACCAACCAAATCTTGTCCTAATACTCATGTGTTTCATTCGTCAGATAGACCACTAACTCGTCAAACAGTCGTCTCTGTCTGGCCTCGCTGTTAACTCTCCATCTTCCTCCCCCCTCTCTCCCTCCTCTCCTCCAGTGCTCGGAAGCGGCCAATCCCGTACTACCGGCCCAGCCCTTCGTCGTCCAGCTACGACAGCAGCCCGTCGCGGTCCAGCCGCAGCCGCAGCTACAGCAGCTACAGCCGCAGCAGGAGCCACAGCCGAAGCCACAACCGGAGCCACAGCAGGAGCCGGAGCCGGAGCTGGAGTCGGAGCCGCAGCCAGAGCCGGAGCTGGAGCCGCAGCAGGAGTCGCTCCCGCAGTCACCACAGTTACTACAGCCGCAGCAGCTACGACAGCCCCGGCTTCTGAGCGCAACAGACAGCACAGAAGGGAAACACAAACAAACAGAGGAGCAGTCCTGTTGAATTTACCGTGCTCCGGTTCAGTCATGATGTATCTTTAACAAGCCCTCGACAGCCCCTGCACTGCTGTACAGTCCAGGGCCCTCGACCCTAGACATAATCCCTCTCCAACACAGAGCCTGGATCAAAGAGGAGGGATGTATTTTGATATAGCACATTATTATGAATTTGGCTGTCACTGTTCATGTCCTCACATATACAAGGTATTAAAGGAAATGGGTTACCACATGTCAAAAATTAATTTGGTAGAGCCCAAAGAACAAATCTTGCTGTATGTTAGCACTTTCTGTCTCTTCTTCCACAAAGCAACCAAAAATTAATTCATTACAAACTATATACTATAAATATATATATATGAATATATCCTAACAATAGGAGCTGAGTAGAAGTCAAAAAGAGGACACATCAACGGCTTACTGTACATTTCAGAAAATCTCACTTTTTTTCCTCCCCCCATCATGTACTCATCCCCCCAAAGACTTCCATTTCACCGAAGCACAGAGATCAACAAAAGTGAGAACAAAAGAGACGTCGGCGGATGAAACAGGAAATGGAAGAGAAAAGGAACTTTTTTTATGATGAAAATTGTATTGTATAGGTTTGTCTGTATAGATGTAAACTCTCTTAAGTTCTGGCTTTGTAAACTATGCACTGTATATTCCATCTAGTTTGAAGAGGCTTGTTTAGCATGATGCATCGGGAGAGACTTGCTGCTCGATGGACAGTACCTGGCTGAAATTAAAGGTGCCAGGGTGCATCTGTTCTCCCCTCTGACATATCCAGTATGTCAGCCACCTGCATACAGAGGTGAATGGGACGGGGGGGACAAAAACTATGTATTATGTACTTTTACTCTCTTCCCTGTTTAAATGATTACGTTGATTCTGCTAATGTGTGTGTGTGTGTGTGTGTGTGCGTGTGTGTGCGCGCGCGTACGTGTGTGTACCTCCTCTGCAATGACCAGTGAGGTAATTATTTGTGTGTGTGTACCACTGTAGCCTGCAGCTCAGGCTGCTGTGTGGTATTGTACAGGAAAACTGTCTGCAAAAAGTCTCCATGCACACTTTTTGTGTTGACCACAGCTATTTATAATTCTAATTGTATTTATCAGTTTATTTATTGGGCTATTTATTATTTTATTTATTTATCATTCTGCCATGAGCTGTAAAGCAGTTGGATCATGCTTCGACGATGAGATTGCTGCAAATGTATTCCCATTTGTAAATGAACTGTACTTGTTTTACACGAAATGGGTTTCTTATTGTGGCGAAGGATGACTATCGCTATCAGATGAGCGAGCGGGGTGAAGATCCTTTGCTGTGTGTTTCAGATGCTCTGATTTTAGCCAGTGGAACCAAGTCTTCACCCACAGTTACTCCCACGACTGCCATTATGGCGTCCCCTGCCTATTGTAACGGTTCATTTTAATGCCAGCCATTGTGGCTCTGCTTGTATTGAGGAGCGAGGGATCAGCCTCAAACAGAACCAGAACATCTCCCTGTGATTAGAGGGAGTCCATTATTCTACACAGCCACCACATACTCTAATCCCTTGTATAATGGGCCGCACCATGTTTCTGTACCGTACAGCTACGGTAGTACGGTAAACAAACTGGCGATACAATCAGGGATCACCTTAAGTCTTCCTTACCATTCGTCCAGTCTCATGTCACTCGCACAGTGTTGCATTCCCAGTGTAACCCAACTATGATACTCTGCAAACCTGTTAATTTATTCCAAGTATAGCATTGCCCCTTTGGTTCTACAAGTCATTCTTTGTAGTGTACAAGTTATTATACCTGACAATAAACAGAAACAAATGGGGAAATGATCATACTCTCTTGTTGTTCTTTGTCTTTCTAAATTCAGTTGAGGTGATATGATATCGTGCAGGCGTTTTGCATACATTTCCCTACAGATGGCACCAATGAGAACCTTCTGGTACCTGATTATACTGACTTAAAACTTGAAACCTCAGGAAAATGTGCTAGAATGTTCTCCAGGTCTGCCAAACTAATGCAACCTCCGGTCAAACCAGGACAAAGGGGAGGATGGGGTCTATTTCAGGGACTGTGCTGATACAGTATCTACACCATACACTTCTGCTGTCAGATACTGTAACCCTATGGGGTTATATGTGTTTAAAAAACCCTAGAATAAATAAAGAAAATAAAATAGTAAATAGTAAATTTGAAGTAAGAAAATGACCTCAAAAGCAAAACCTACATTAGAACTATACCATTTGATCCTCCACTTTCATTTCACTGATCAGCTCTCTCTCTCTCTCTCTCTCTCTCTCTCTCTCTCTCTCTCTCTCTCTCTCTCTCTCTCTCTCTCTCTCTCTCTCTCTCTATCTACCATTGAGCATTGAGAACAGACAGCTAGTAGTAACCGCACTAAGCTGGTTTAAGTCATACTTATCAGATCGTTCGCAGTTTGTACATGTTAACGATGAATCTTCAATAAATACTACAGTTAGTCATGGAGATCCACAAGGTTCTGTACTTGGACCAATACTATTTACTTTATATATGCTCCCTTTAGGCAACATTATTAGGAATCACTCCATTAACTTTCATTGCTGTGCAGATAATACGCAGTTATATCCATCTAAAGATATAGCTACTCTAGATGGCATTACCTTGGCCTCTAGCACCACTGTCAGGAATCTTGGAGTTATCTTTGATCAGGATTTGTCATTTAATTCCCACATAAAGCAAACCTCCAGGACTGCCTTCTTTCATTTACGTAATATTACAAAAATTAGACACATCCTATCACAGACTAACAGAAAAACTAATCCATGCATTTGTTACTTCTAGGCTGGATTACTGCAACTCTTTATTATCAGGCTGCAGCAGGAGTGCTGACAGGAACTAGGAAAAGAGATCACATCTCTCCTGTACTAGCTTCTCTGCACTGGCTCCCTGTAAAATTTAGAATAGAATTTAAAATCCTCTTCCTCACCTACAAAGCTCTTCATGGTCAGGCCCCTTCATATCTTAAAGAGCTCATAGTACCCTATTACCCCTCTAGAACACTACATTCTCTGAATGCTGGGCTACTTGTGGTTCCTATAGTCTCTAAAAGTAGAACAGGAGCCAGAGCCTTCATTTACCAAGCTCCTCTCCTGTGGAACCAGACACCCTCTCCACATTCAAGAGTAGGCTTAAGACATTCCTCTTTGATAAAGCTTATAGTTAGGGCTGGATCAGGTGAGTCCTGAACCATCCCTTAGTTGTGCTGCTATAGGCCTAGACTATCGGGGGATTTCCCATGGTGCACTGAGCCCCTCTCTTCCTCTCTCTCTCTTTCTGAACACATTCATGTCCCATTAATGCATGTTACTAACGTCACTTCTTCCCCGAAGTTCTTGTGCTTTCTCGTCTCGCAGGTTCTCATGGATCCTGGTGGTGCCTCCTGCCATGGTCCTGCTTGACTGCCATTGCTAATATCACTGATATTATTGTTATTAATAATAATATTATTACTACAGTTACTATTATTACTATTGTCACTGCTCATTGTCCCCCATCATTGCTGTTGTCATCGTCTTCTTCATGTTCATCATCATCAGTCACTACTATTGGTGTAGTTGTTGCTACTGTTGTTGCTGTGCAACTGTCTGTCTCTGTCTGTCTCTGTCTCTCTCTCTCTCTCTCTCTCTCTCTCTCTCTCTCTCTCTCTCTCTCTCTCTCTCTCTCTCTCTCTCTCTCTCTCTCTCTCTCTCTCTCTCTCTCACCCCAACTGGTCAAGGCAGACGACCACCCACCTAGAGCCGAAGGATCTGTCCTAGGTTTCTGCCTCTTAACAGGCAGTTTTTCCTTGCCCCCGTCGCCAAGTGCTTGCTCATGGTGGTACTGTTGGGTCTCTGTAAATGGTCCCTAGAAGTGAGAAGTGAAATTTCCTTTTCTGCCACAAAAGTATAAAAGAAAACAGGCCTCTGTATTTGCAGTTAATTGAACTCCTTTTCGCTCACAATTAGAGTGGTAACTGGACGGATATAACTTTTATCTTCATTTATTTGAAACATTAGCAAGAAAAAAATTGTAGGATCCAATGTTAGTCAGTGAATGTGTTGGTAAAGATTAGCTTGTTGGGGCACCCTGGTAACCCGCCTGGTAGAGCTGGCGCCCCATGTACCAGCTGAGTCCTCGCTGCAGCGGCAGGTTCGACCTGTGGCCCTTTGCTGTCATCCCCCCTCTCCCACCCCCCCTTTCCTGTCACTCTTCAGCTGTCACTATCAATAAAAGGCAATAAAAGCCCAAAAGATAAATAAAAAAAACGATAAGCTTGTTATATAAGGTGATTTTCTGTCTGTCAAGTAACCACATTGAGCAGTGTTGCGTTCACTTGTACTCCCTCCATTTCTCCAGCGTTCCAGGGGTGGAAGATGCGATACAAAGCCCCGCATGAGCCTGCTGGAACTCACTGGAGCCTGGATATAGGATTTGGTTTAGGCTCAGGAGCTGAGAGCCAGCCCTGGGCATGGAGAGTGTGCTGCTTTAGACGCACATACAGTAATTCACTACAATCAAACACTGACACACAACACATGAGAGGTTCATGTTTTTAGTTTCATTCCAGGTAAAATATTATATTGCAATCTGACCACATTGTTTAATAGGGCTAACAAAATGCTAGCTTTTCATCAGGATCACATGCACTTTATGTAGCCTAAGATCCGAGTTGTATTTTTTTAGATTTTTTAGTATAGTGTTTGCACCTAAAAGAAAATAAAGAACAACAGAATAAGAAATAATAAAGTGCCAAAAACCCATCACATTGATGCTACTTGAGCAGAGAAATGTAAGTGTTGCTCCATACATGATTTTGACCAATGGGAATGTAAGCACCCACAAAGCTTTGTGTCAGACGAGTAACTGAATGTCAGGGATGGTGACCAGGACTCAGACGCAGACGAGAGTGAAGTCTCAAATAAAGAGATTTATTTATTTAAGTGGCTGAGATTCAGATGTGACAGAGAGCGGGAATGGGTTCTGGGCTCCAGTGCTCTGGGTGTTGCTGTGCTGGCAGGTGGAACTGGGTCCAGGATCAGGGTGAGATGGTCTGAGACGTGACAGGGAAAAAACTGGCTGGTGTGTTCTCATACTATATGATTCAACGATCCAGTGGGGAATGGAAGGTCAGCCTGATTTATAAAGGGTGGGTTGATTGTAGATGAGGACCCGGTGTGCTGATTGGTGTGATGAACCACAGGTGTGTCAGCAGGAGCTCCAGCGACCACGCCCACCAGCGGCTTTCAGAACATGTGGGGAAAGCAAAACACAGAGACGGACACCAAACCAAAACACACCAAGCACACAGCAGGCACACCAAAGGGGAGAAAAGAATACAAAAACTACATTCACACACATACCATGAAGGAAACCAGAGTCACGGCCGGTGGCCCGTGACACTGAAAGCTTGACAGCGAAAGTAAAAATACTGTATTCGAATGGGGCTCTCTTACAGTTCTGTGAGGTGATGTTTTGGCTTCAAATAATTTTTATTTATTCTGAATTAACATTTTTTTTCCTGAAATGTCGTTCAACATTATTAGAACAGTACTGCAGTAGGTAACTTTTATAACAGTAATTTTTTGTCCTATTTTCTGAAATTTCCACTGTGTTCTGACAGTAGTACATGAGACAGATAATCTGTGAAAAGATTCGGTCCCTCAGGCTCCTCCATGGGCTCCTAATGGCATTTGCAAGAATCTACCAGGCCTTAACGAAAACAACCAATCAAAGCTGGGAAAGGTAGAAAGACACTAGATAGTTGATCGTTGAGTCTAATTCCCAGTACGCAAAGCGTTGGTATTTGACGACTTGGGAATCTTTCTTTGCTCTGATTGGTTGTTTTCGTCTAGGCCCGGTGGATTCTTGCAAATACCATTAGGAGCACTAGGAGGAGCCTGAGGGATCTTATTTTCATACATATAATCTATCACATGTACTACTGTCAGGATATAGTGAAAGTTTCAGCAAATATGCAAATAAAATAAAAAAAAGATTATATATCTAAAAGTTGCCTACTGCAGCTTTAAGAGAAGTAACTATAACACTGTAGTACGCAAAACTGTTTTAACTTTGAGGAGTCTGTGAACCCTCTGATTAATATAATAGCTGGATTCTATAAGCTCAGGGTGACAGGGTGCAATGCAAATCAAAACCAGAACATCTCATTAAAGTGCCAGTGAGAGGTTGGTAGGAACACATCTGTGACACACAATAAAGCCACACACCGTAGCAATAACAGTCTGTCGGGCTGTCAGTAGCTTTGATAAACCGCAGCTTATTAGTTCTCCATTTGTGCCATTAATAATACGAGGTGCTGCAGAAAACGTCACTGTCACTGATCTGATAACAGTCAATTGTGAAGCTGAATATTGTGGATTAGACCAAACTGTTTGTCTCCTCTGCGTGTCCTACTGTCATTATTCAGCAAGTGACCTCAGGATGACTCTTGAAGTGTAGTACAGTAATATAACACAATGCTTTTTGGCTTTTACGCCTTTAATGGTATGCTTGTGTGTGCAATGTTTATTTGCATCCATGTCACAAACTGACATTCCACTGTATATTTAATATGAGGATGATAACAGTAGCATGGCACTGTCTGTCCTGTACAGTATATCACATCATTGCCTAGACAGAGCCATGTTACAAATAGCATGGAATGGCCTTATCTAAGTCTGATTTGTATGTGCTCAGCAGGCCCGGTTGACTTCCCAGCAGCCTCCCAGATTCTTCTGGCTCTTTGGGACGTGCAGAGAGGGGAGGGTGTGGGTGTGTGTGTGTGTGTGAGGGGTGGAATACACACGGCAGG